AGAGGGAACACGGCAGTGGGAGTGGGAGAGGGAGAAGCAGGCTTCCCGCGGAGCAGGGAGCCCGATGCGGGGCTCGATCCTAGGACTCTGGGATCATGACCTGAGCCGAAGGCAGACGCTTAACGACTGAGCCACCCAGGAGCCCTGAAAATCTTTTCATTTGTTTTGGGCATTTGTGTTTCTTCTGTAAATTTTCCTGTTTGTTTCCTTTGCTCACCTTTGTATTGCATTATATTTTTTCCTAATTGACTTGTAGAAATTCTATATAATACAGCCAATAATCCTTTTTATTTTGTTAAGTTGCAAATATTTATTCCCAGTATGACTTTTCTCTTTTAGATTCATTGATTGCCTTGTAGGTTTGTGTGGTCAGATCTGAGTCTTTAACTGTATAACCTCCAGGCTTTACATTTTTAAGGGACTTTCCCACTGCAAGATTATACAAATATTCTTCTAATATGTTTTCTGGTTATTTTATAGTTTTATTTTTAACGTTTCACTCTAATTCACCAATAATTTAAGGCAATGGTATTAAGTTTATTTTTTTTCCCTAAATGGATAGGCCACTTGTCCAAGATCATTTATTGAATCTCCATCTTTCTCCAAATATTTGAAATGCCACATTTGTCATGCATTAAATCCCTAAAAAGAATGGGCCTATTTCTAGGCTCATTATTCTGTTTTATTATTTTTTCTGTCTGTTCTTGTGTCAGCACTACCCTGTTTTAATGAACCTGCTGTATGTTTTGATATGTGGTATGGACACATCCCCCTTCGGCCTCATTTTGTTTTTCTTTTTCAAAAATACATATTCTATAAGTAAAATTGGGAGGCATATTAGTTTCGTAGGGCTGCTGTAGCAAAGTCCCACAAACTGGGTGGCTTAACACAATGGAAGTGTATCGTCCCATAGTTCTGGAGGCTGGAAGTCCAACATCCAGGTGTCGGCAGGGCCATGCTGCAGCTGAAAGCTGCAGGGGAATCCTTCCTCGCTTCTGGTGGTCTGCCATCAGTCTTTGGCATTTTTTGCTTACAGCTGCATAATTGTAATTGCCGCTTTCATTGTCACATGGTGTGCTCCCTGCGTGTGTGTCTTCACCTGACTCATAAGGGGCTGACCCTACTCTAGTATGATCTCATCTATGTATATCCGCACTGACTCTTTCCAAGTAAGATCACATTCTGAGGTACTGGGGGTTAGGACTTCAGCATATTTGGGGGGAGAGGGGTACCTTCAACTCATAAGAGCTGGCATCTTTAAGATATTGAGTCTCTTCCAGAAGAGACTCCAGAAACATACGTTTTCAGTTGATTCTCTTTAACTGCTGAGAAGTGAGTGAGCAGAGTGTTGCTATTTTGAAGTTACCATGCCTGTTTCTTACACTGCTTTTAAGATTTTTTTTTCTTTTTTGTCCCTGAGTTTCAGAAGTTTGACTATGATATCCTTGGATGTGCTTTTCTTTGTATTTAGTGTGCTTATGGCTTGGGACTTCTTGAATCCGTGAGTCCTCAATTGGGAAAATCTTCCATCCTTATTCCTTCACATATTGCAATGTTCTCATTTTCTCCTCTTGTTTTGCTTCTTTGTACTCTCAACAGATATATAGTGGTGCCAAATAATGTACTTTTAGCCACTTTTTTAACTTAGAACCATGAATCATCTTTGAACAACTGGCTAGCCCTCCATTTTGTTATTTTCAGTTCTTAGCTTTACAGTTTCTGTCATAAATAGTTGCATAAGTGATCCTTTAGTGAGTAGGTATTTGATGTGTTAGGAACCAGTGGCATAGGAAGATGTGCCAATGAACTTTACCTTGTAGTAATGAAAAGAACCAGATCATTATCAGACACTGTAAGGGATGTGATGACAATTGTAGGAACCTTGTCTCTTTACATAACTAAGGTTTTGTAATTACTACAGATTATAGTGACTTTCCCCACAAATGTCAAAATATGTTTTGTGTGCTTATCTGAGACTGGACTTTGAGTTTTGGGACCAGAGATTTTTTACTTTATTTGTGCATTGAGTTAAGATATTTCTTTTAGTACTAAACAGGTGATACCACTTTTCTTCAAAACACTCTAAATGGATAGATTTATTTTGCTACCTTAGCATCAACATTCCTAACAGGCATCTTCATCTAAAATGTTTCATACTTATCATGTTACCACTATGACAGAAAACTTTAGTTTTCCTATCTCTTATTATATGGCATTGAATTTCTGTGTTTGTCAGAGTTTTTATTAACCAGTCACATTTCACTTTTCCTGTCTTATTTTTTTACCTCTGCTTTCCAAAGACATTCATTTGAATTAGTGTCATTGACTTTTTGTCATGTCATGTACTTTTCTGTATCTTTTTTTATTATGCTATGCATTTTGTCTCAATGCTTCCATTTCTTTTACTCTACCTATCTGTATTAATCCTTCTCTTCTTTAAACTTCCATATTAATCAGGACCTATATGTATAATCTTTTGTTTCATCATAGCACTGGTTCATTTTTATTTTTATTATATTTTTTCTGTTATTGATGAGCGAGTTTTATTTTTTCCTTTTATATTCCAGAGGGAAGAGATATTGTCTTCTCCTTAATCCTGGATAGTATAACCAAAGTCAGAACATCAACTCCAAAGCAGAAAGCTTCTGAAAAAGAATAGTGTCATGGCATGATGTTATACAGTTTTCTAAATGATGGTTCCTAAAACTTTGCATCAGAAGAATTGGAATTTGTTAACCAACTTGAGAAACACTAGTAAAACTGAATTACAAGGAGACTCAATTAAAGAGGAAAATCATTACTATAATAATTTTGAGGAAACATTTAACCTGAGCTCAACTCTTTTTAAACAACAGAGAGTTTCTAAAGACAATTATGACATAATTATGACATAAATGATAGAAGCTTAAAGCATAGTTCTGTGTCAGTTGATTTTTTTACAAGGCAACTCATAAATGGAAAATAATTTATTAGATATAAGCAAGGATGCATTTTTATCTCAAACTGTACTTATTCTGGAAACAATTTAAATGTAAAGCTATAGTTCAGTACTAATGGAACCTAAGAAAATTTATATGAAAGAGAAGCACGAATGTAAACTATGTGGTAAATCCTTCAGCCGGAACGCTAATCTTATTCAGCATCAAAGAATACACACTGGAGAGAAACCTTATGAATGCAATGAATGTGGAAAAGCTTTTAGTCAGAGCACTAATCTTATTCAACATCAAAGAGTCCATACTGGGGAGAAACCTTATGAGTGTAATGAATGTGAAAAAACCTTTAGTCATAGGTCATCCCTTAGAAATCATGAGAGAATTCATACTGGAGAAAAACCCTATCCTTGTGATGAATGTGGGAAGGCTTTCAGCCATATTTCAGCCCTTACTCAGCATCACAGAATTCATACTGGAAAGAAACCATATGCATGTATTGAATGTGGGAAAACCTTCAGCCGGAGCACACATCTTATTGAACATCAGGGAATTCATTCTGCGGAGAAATCGTACCAGTGTAAGGAATGTCGGAAAGTTTTTTGCCATAGCACGTCACTAATCCGACATCAGAGAACTCACACAGGAGAAAAGCCCTATAAATGTAATGAATGTGGAAAAGCCTTCAGTCACACCCCAGCCTTCATTCAACATCACAGAATTCATACTGGAGAGAAACCCTATGAATGTAATGAATGTGGAAAGGCCTTCAATCGGAGCGCACATCTTACTGAACACCAGAGAACTCATACTGGAGAGAAACCTTATGTTTGTAAGGAATGTGGAAAAACCTTCAGTCGAAGCACACACCTTACTGAACATCTAAAAATTCATTCTGGTGAGAAACCCTATCGATGTAATCTATGTCAAAAACTATTTTGCTATATAGAACATCACTAATTCGACATCAGAGAACTCATACAGGAGAGAAACCCTACCAGCGTGATGAATGTGGGAAATCTTTCAGCTTAAGCCCAGCTCTTACTCAACATAAGCAAACACACACACGGGAGAAACATCAATGTAATAAATGTAGTGACGTTTTCTGTCATAGTACATCTTTAATTCAACATCAAAGAACTCATTTTAGAAATGAAATCCTATCAGAGTAATGAATGTGGGGAAGCCTGCAGCCATAGGTCATCACTTATACCTCAACACTCAGTGGTAAGAAACTCTAGTATTGCTAATGAAAGAAAAACTTTAGGCAAAATGCTCATTTTGTTTGTACTGAGAAAAAGCATTGTTCTTGCAATTAATCCTGAAAATGTAATATCATTTAGATAAAAACTTATAATGGAATTATCCCCAAACTAGTTTGTTTTTAAAAACATATTTAGAAAATTATTTTTAGAAATAATTTATTATAAATGTATATATTTGCTTATAATAAAAGATTTCTCAGGTACACAAAAGTTTTAGTGGGATGATGAAAATTGTTTATGTATCATCTTTTATCCTTTTAGTAATTCTCATGTTATTCTTCACTGTTAAAAAAACACCTTTATAGTGGGTTTGAGTTTTTTAAATTAACAAGTTTGTCTAATAGCCATATAAGAGAATACTTTCCTCCACAGAGAAATATGCATTATTTTCCAGTATTCATGGAATATTTTTTAATGGACTATATATAGTTTTTTGCCAAAGTACATCATATATATATATAGTCCATTTAAAAATATTCCATGAATACTGGAAAAAAATATATACATACATATATATAGTCCATTAAAATATATATACATATATTTCTATATATGTGTGTATATATATGGTCCATTAAAAATATGGCTACAAAGAAAATCTCAACAAATTCTCCCCAAGGGAAATATTCAAGCCCTTCCCATTTTTTAAAAACCACAATAGGATAAAAGTAGACATGAAAAGTTAAAATAGCACCACAAAATTATTTAGAAATTACAGAATAATTTTGTAAGTAACTTTTGTGTTAAAGGATAAATCCAAACAGAAAAAAGACAGTTATTAGAAAATAATAAAATTAGGGCATAAATTAAATATTACATTACAAAAAAAGGAAATAGAATAATGATATAAAGCAAAGAAAATAAAGGGAATGCATTAATAAATATAAAAGTACACATTAATGAAATAGGTACAAAAAATATGTTTGATAAGCCAATAGACAAACTCTAGCAAGTAGGACAATGGGAAAAAAGGAAAAAACAACATCTATACGAAAAGGAATGTAAATATAGATAAAAAGGGAAGTTAAATTTTCTAATTCAATGACTAACAAGTCAAATCTAGCAGTTTTGTAAAACCAATACTGAGATTTATCATAGGACTTCCAAACTAGTTCAAAAGTAGAAATGTACATTAATAAAGAGAATATACTTAACAGATGATATAAAAATATTTGGCAAAGTTCTACAGGCATTGGTGTTTTTAAAATTAGGGATAAAAGGAAACTTATTTAAGTTGATAAAGGATATTTATCAGAAACCTATGTGAACATTATGAATAGCCAGAAGCATTCTTACCTGAGAGAGGAATGAGAAATGATGTATGATGTCAATACTATTAGCATTGTTCTGAAGGTCCCAGATAATTTAATAAGAGAAAAAAATGAGCTAGTAATATTTGAAAGAACTGGCATCGTTTGAGATGGTATGTTTGGTGACTAGAAAATCTAACTAGTAGAACTAGTAAGGTGGAGATATGTAATCTATCAACAATGTGTAAGTAAAAAGCTATCTTAAGTAGAAAAATAGAAAATGTGGAAAAAAGTGATAGTCACAATATTGACAAAAAATCTAAAAATACCAGGAATAAGAAAAAATCTAAGAGATGTTTATAGGATAAATCTTTCCAGAAGAACATAGAATAATGTAATAAATGAAGAAACATATTTGGAAAAATAGTATGAAGATGTCGATTTGTTTCAAATTTATCTTTGATTTGTAAACTTAATGGAATTTTAAAAAAGAACAGTTTTATTGAGGTATATAGTTCTCACACTGAAAATTTCACTCTTTTTAAAGTACAATTCAATGGTGGTTAGTATATTCAGAGTTGTGGTACCATCACCACTATCTAATTTCAGAATATTTTCATCGCCCCAAAAAGAAACCCCATACCCATTAGCAGGAATTCCCTTCTCCCTCCAGCCTCTGGTCACCACTCATCTACTATCTTTTTGTGAATGTGTCTACTCTAGCCTTTTCATGTCAGTGGAATAACAGAATATGTGGCCTTTTGTGGCTGGCTTCTTTCACTTAGCATTAATATTTTCAAGGTCCATCCATGTTGTAACAAGTATCAGTACTTCATTTCTTGTTATGGTGCAATAAAATTCCATTGTATGGGTCTAGCAGATTTTGTTTTCCATTCATCAGTTGATGGACATTTCAGTTTCCACTTTTTGGTTATTGTGAATAATGCTGCCGTGAACACTCATGTATAAATTTTTGTGTGGATGTGTTTTCAGTTCTCTTGGGGTATATACCTGGGAGTGATATTGTTGAGTCACAAGTTAACTCTATGTTTACCTTTTTGAGGAGATGTCAGATTTTCTAAAATAACTGCACCATTTTACAAGCCCACCAGCAACATGTGAGGGTTATTTTTCCACATCTTCATCAACACCTGTTTTCTCTGTAAGAGATACATGTATACTGTCATAAATATATCCACAAATATACAATAGGTATATTTTTCATAAATATTTTTGTAAATACACAGGTGTATATTTTCTTTGGAGAAATGTCCGTTTGGATCCTTTGTCCATTTTAAATTAGATTATTGTCTCTCTATTGTTGAGTTGTAAGAGTTCTTTATACTGGATACTAAACCCTTATACATATAATTTGCAAATATTTTTTCCCATTCTGTGGGCTTTCTTTGATGCTCTTTGAAGCAGAAAAGGTCTTAATTTTGATGTAGTCCAGCTTACCTATTTTTTTCTTTTATTGTTTGTCCCTTTGGTGTAACCTAAAGTTGAAGAGTTATGTATTCTCTTCCAAGAGTTTAATAGTTTTAGTGCTTACCATTAGGTCTATGATCCATTTTGAGGTAACTTTTTTGTACCTGGTGTGAGGTAGGGGTCGACCATTATTCTTCTGCATGTGGATATTCAGTTATCCCAGCACCTTTGTTGAAAAGACTATTTCCCACATTTAACTGTCTCAGCATCCTTGTCATTCAATGGGATTTTAAAATAAAATTTAGCACACTAAATATATTTGAATAACTTTATGGTAACAGTAGCATCCTAAAATGGTAGGGAAAAAAAAATGGACTAGTCATTAAGTGATATTGAGATGAATGGCTATTTATTTGGGAAAATAATTACCTCATAACATACACAAAATTAAATTCCAGAAGGGACTAAGTGAATGCCATTTTGTGATAGTTTTCCATGAGACAGGAGCTGGGCACAAAAGTCTGAAGTTTTCTTCAGATCCTTCCACAATCACAACTGGGTAAACTCAAATTTAAGAAGAGTTTTGAAAAAGTTTTATTACAACCACTGATAGAATTATGGCATGACTCTCTTCAAATCCTTACCAAAAAAAAAAAAAAGCAAACAACATTGCTTTAGGGGAAAAAAGATTGTAAAAGAATAAACCTAAAACATAGTAACAAGACTAAATGTAACCATTATAGCAGTGAAGGACCCTTTTTAAAGGTTACATCTTTTAGATTAGATTTACAGGAAGGAGAACAAACACTTATTGGTTGCTAAATTAAATAGTATAAGAAATTAAGGTGCTAAAGTTAACTGACTCATCCATGGTCACCCAGCACTTTAATAGATCGTTCAAATTCACGTTTTCTATTTATTTATTTTTATTTTTATTTTTATTTTTT